ACTTGCAAAATTTGGTCCTCAAATTTTGACTTTTCTTTTAATTACCCCTCCAAACATTGCATCATGATGTCCCCAATTTTCGGAACTTGTGCACTTTGGTCCCCACTTCATGATTTTGAACGCTTCTGGTTCATTTTCACTCTCTTTTGCCTTGTCCTCTTACCTTGGGTGATTTTTACCTACAAAGGCAATAATTGCATAATTGTAAATAGAATTTCATTCATTTAATTAATATTTAAGCTTATTCAGGTATTAAATGAGTGTGCAAAAGTATACTTATCAACAATATTGCACTTGACTGAATAATATAATGAATAAGAATATAAATGTCTATATTTCTTAACAATGTCTAATACTATTTAATCAATATGACATTCACGTTATGTACATGACATCGAATTTTAAGTGTATATTGAATCCATGACCAGAAATGGCTATGATTTTCTTGAAGATCCTCAGCCATCAAGAACGTCCAATAGTCATAAAATCGCCTTGGCCTTAGGATCCACTCTCAGTTGCATTTGCCTATTGATTCTTGGGTTCAGTTTCCTTCTCTAGTGGAGACATGAGAACAACCAGCAAATATTCTTCGGCAGGAATGATATGTATTTAATACTCGGGTGTCTAGAAGCGAGTCGATTGTACTATGTCTAAACTCGCCCTTCTCAATTTCAGAACACCGCCAAAAAAGTGTCTAGGAAACTTGAGAAGGTTCCAATTTAGAGAACTTCAGAAGATGTTCATTCCCATGGTATGCTCATCATTTACATATTTCACTGATAGTATTATTGTGCCTATTTTTCCTATACTGTAGCTAAACCATCGTTGGACTTTGGGACTAGGAAAAGGATTGCCTTAAATGCTACACGTGGTTTTTTATACCTTCGCGAGCAATGTGACCCCAAGATGCCGGTCCTATGATTTTTGGGGCGTGAGGCGAACTTACTAAATTAGGCCCCAAAAATTATAGTATGCATGCAAAATTTTATCAGTGTCTTATGAAATCAATTATTAAACAATAAGCAAAATGTATTATACAAAATATTTTTATTATAATCAAATAACAAATTTGACAATGCCCCAAATGATCGGTTAAATACTAAACAATCAACGTTCTACCACTTCGTGTCAAATGGATTTCAATATTACTTTTGAATTTTGAATTTAAGCTTCAAAATACAAAGAAACTAGAGAAATAACATTTAATTCCCAATCGAATAAGTGGTATCTAACAATCAAAGAAAAATTATGATTCACTTTAAGTATTAGATAAATTCAATTCTCCATACAAACATGACATAAGAGGTGGTAGGCATTCGAAAGTTCTTAAGTATTTCTATTTCAGTAATACAAAAACCCCACAAATATAGCAAATCATCTATCAATCTACATAGCTACATAATGTTTATTTTCAAAAGTTGCATTATAATCATATATCAATCATAATTATAACTTAATATCATATATTAATTAGGAAAAAGGACAAAAATAACATACATATTTAACTCTTTCATCTTATAATATCCGATGGAAAGTAAAACAACACGATTATTAGCACAATTCTTTTTAAAGAGAACCCAATAATTCAAGGAAAAGACTTGTTGATTTGTTAATTTTTCAATCCAAATAGTCTCAAGAAAAGTTTCTATATTTTTATGAATGATGAGTATAAAAGTAAACTAGAATCATTTTAAAGCACATATAAGAAAATAAAATAGAATTACAAACTAAGAGGAGGATAAACTTGAAGCAGCAAGCTTGTTTCTGGAGATTGGAGAATATGACTCACAAATCGAAAAACAACTAATAGGAATTTCTATTGGATCTAACTTAAAATTAACTACAAATTAATTGTAAATTCTCTCTCGCACGCATGCACATAGGCCAAACGGGAAGTAAGAAATTGTCCTTAAATCCAGTTTTTTTATCCTTTAGGGAAAAAATAAATAAATAAATAAATAAAATTGAGGTCCCCTTCTTAATTGGGTATGAGACAGAGGCCTCATTTGCCTTTGCTCGGGACCGGCCATGCCAAGATCATTCATTGGGACATAAAGGCTGCAAACTTATTGCTCGATGATTACTGTGAGGCTGTCATAGGATATTTTGGATCGATAAGGCTTTTGGATCATCATGATTCACATATCACGATGGCCACTGGGGGCATTGTAGGACATGTAGCCCTCAAGTATCTCTCTACAGGCCAATCCTCGGAAAAAACAGATTTTTTCGGGTTCGGAATACTCCTGTTAGAATTGATCACCAGTCAAAGGGCTTCAGAATTCGGGAAAGCAGAAAATCAGAAGGACCTATTCTTGATTGGGTAAGTACCAATAGAAAACAAAGGATAGTATTAAGAAAGAAACAGAAGTTAAACTGTGAGGTCTAACAGCAGTTCCTTGTGACTGGTCTATGCAAACACGTCTCAATATGTTTAGAAAACTCGATATTATTTTGCTAAAATTTCCAAAAAATACTATAAAACATAAACCCAACAATACTAAACCATGCTGAGGGGCTGTCTGAAGAAACATGATTTTGTTCGGAAGTGGTTTGTAAGTAAAGCTTCACTATATCATTGGTATGCATATTTGCAAGACATATCAAATAGTTATTATAAAGAGAAAATGAGGGAATATGACGTTTTGAATAGTGACTTTTGAAGAATGTGTGATTAGAAATAGAAAAAATGTTTGAATTTATGTGCAAAATATTTTATTAAGTGAATGTACGGTCGAAAATGAGTATGAAAAATAAAGAATCAAAATAATCGTTGTTAAACAGGGTCTCAATATGAACTTTTGAAGTGAGAAGTAGAGCCAAAAACAACTCATATTTTCCCAAGAAATAATAATAAACATTATATCGTATTGCTCCCTGGTTTGAAATCATGAAAGCTTCATTGTTTTTCCTTTAATTTGTATTTGTACATGATTTCACTTCAACGATCAACTCCAAACTATCATAAAGTCTAAAATCGTTCAGTGCTTATCTTATATCAAGTAATGCGGATGAGCAGTACAACCATGATAAAGATACAAATCATTACAAAAACCGCAAGCCATGTGGCACACGATGTCTTGAAACTCTGCGAGTATGCCTCCATTGCCCGAGTGTTGGCATGTCCAGTGCTCACCAAGCTCTGCTCGACTGCTATCTCTGTTGATTCAAGTATCTACACTCAAAAGACAAACAACACAAGGAGAACAATTGTGAAAACACTGATCGATATAGTAAATAGGTTCAAAAAATAATAATAATAAATAAATAAATAAAATAAAATAAAAAATAAAAAAATTAGCTGGGTAACCTGCCTCGTCTAAAAAGGATTACTTACCAAGTATTCGAAACTAGAATTACGATCCTTATATAAACATATCAAAGCAACCTAGTGCCTAAAATTTAAGCACACGAGATTTGAACTCACTCTCCCTGTGTTTTGTATCGATTGACTCATCATCAAGGTGCTCTCTTTAAGTTGTCGTGCCAAACCAACCATTTCATCAGTCAAATTGTCTCGAAGCTTTCTGCAGAAAAGAAACAGTTAAGATCACTTTTGTAGGTACACCTGGGATTTTATCTAAGGAGAAAAATGAGATGCGAAACAAGAGGAAAAAGGGGAAGTGACCCAATGTTTCTCAGAGGGGAAACAGTTATATATATAACAAAAGTAGTGACTCGAAGTCTTTTAAACCAAACTAGTTATTGAAGCTTTTTTCTGTTAAACTCAAATCTTAGTTAATTATGTTGCCTACACTTGGGCTGCAGCTATTGGTTAAAAACTCAAAACTAGTGAATTAACAGCAATGATATTCATACGCGTATCCCCAGTTGAAAAACACCTGCAAGAACTATGTAACCTTCTGTCTTGCAGCCTTGAAGCTCAGTTCTGTTCTCCCGCACACCCGTTCTCATGCATATGCATGTAACTCTTAATATATGACTGGATAAGCTTCTACAAGCTTATAAGCAGTATGTCTTAAAGAATGTGTGTTTAAAAAGACAACAAAATGTTATGGCTCCAATGTGTGAATAAAAATGGAATTTGACCAGCTTATAAGCAATTATAAGCTTCACTAAACATACACTTAATATTTCAGAAGAAAAGCTTCAACAAATAAGCTATTCAGATTAATAATTCAGTTATGTAAGATTTTGAAAGTATTTTCATCAAGAAACTTCATAAATGCATGTACATGTAGAAAGTACCTGTGCTTCTCAATATGAGTGTGTGCTGCAGAATCCAATTTGACAGACTTCACTTTATTGTCGACTTTGACGGTATCATTAGATCTATCTTCGGTTGGAGGCCTGATTACATTGAAAGTCAAATTTAAAAATATAAGACAAGATATCATATACTAGGAGCTATATAAACTTCATTTATACATACACTAGTCTCTGCCTCAATCCTCTAGGAGAGTGAACACTTTCTCCTTCAGGTCTGGAGAGGATTTGCGTGTCAGAAGTCTCTAAAGAACGATCCTGAGAAACTTGCTTAGTGGACTGCAGTTTCCAATAAAAAAGAGTGACGTTAATATTATTACAAATGCAAACACAATCTATTTCAATCAAAGAGGAGAACTGAAATGAACAAACAGAAATCGTATATTCTGAATGTTCAAAACAAGCAAATTTTTACAAATTTATCCAATTTCTGCTGTCTACTCATGACTCAAGTAGACGGTGATGATGCTATAGGTGGTTTTTTATTTTTAGTTGATAACAGTACAAAAGTTAGAATAAGAATGATGTTGTCTAAAAGGTATAACTCACCCAATTTCTTGGTTCATTTGGAGGGACAGAAACTTTCCAGCCTTTAGAGGGCAATGATAGAACAACTGAAGGCAGACATTATGTACATTATTTACTTTTGAAGAAATGAACATATAGTAATCGAATCTCTTAATCTATAGATGCCTAAAAATTCAGATCTAGTGCAATTTTCTTCAGCTTTTCTAGTAGAGATTAAGTCCCTACATCCTGTCAAATTTAGTTCTCATTTTGGAAAACGTTTACAGAACCAAGTTTTATATACGACAGTTTTTAAGGGGACTAGTCTTTTTAGCTATGTGAAATTTTCATATTATACAAAATAATGAGGCCATCCCTGATTCACCACGTTATCATATTAGTTTTGCGTCCATTTTGCAATTAACAACTCTCCCTTGTGAAGAGTTGTATCTGGAATCAAAGGCTTACTATGTCATAGCAAACAAAAAATGGAATAGTAATATAAAAATATATCATATAGTCATTTCAGGAAAAAAAGAAGTTCAACATGTGCAGCTCATCAGTACACGCACCTCAGTGTTACTTATTTTGGCTGCAATACCTTCAATTTTCTCTGAATATTCATTCAACTGAGCTTTTGAAACCCTGTAGAAAGTATGTCAAAGACAGAGTTCAGATCATAAAATCTTCTACATCAATTCTCATCAGAATAAATGCATGAACAGCTTAAATAGATTTCAAGAAACTACAAACCATTTCATTTGAGTAAAAAGACATCAACCATAACGAGAATGCAACTAAAACCCAAACCTGAATTGCATACTATGCAAGAAGCACCGAGCCCCCACCTTTTCAACATCGCATATTAGATATTACATGCTCCAATAAAGCAGATTCATTATTTTATGGTTTCAATTAGTAGCAGGGCAGAAAAGACACTATACCATCTCTGAGAACGAAGGGGTCAACATCCAGAGACGGATGAATTAATTCCAGAAATGATATAATAGCTACACCAAAAAAACAAGCAGATACCATCCCGCAAATCCTTATTACCCAAAAAACACTTTTGTGCTCCAAAATCCCAACTCCAATATAGAGGAAATTGCACTGCAAGTGTGTAATTGTAGAGCATGTTAGAGAGCACTTTTAAGTGCTTATAAGTTGTGAGTCCTATGGAATGTGTGAATAATACGTGGATAGTAGGTTGGTCCTAATAAAAAGTATGTTTGACGAGCTTATAAAAAAAGTAAGCTTTGCCAAACATGCACTTAATGACCACGAGGTCTTTAATCTTAAATGTCACCCTGTGAAGCATCCATTATCATGGATCTAAGATACTATATGAAATTATATTACAATTTGCAAAGATGGTATTTGATTTTCATAAAAGTTGAAATGATATAAACTTAAATTCTTATCAATCAGTCATCTATATGATGGGAAGTTCTGTCAACTAGAAGTACATAGCACCACTCAAATGATACAAGTTCAAAATAAGTTCAATAACATCAGTTCAACATATAAAATTATGTAACTGAATAAGAAAGAATGCAAGATGAGAGGATGTTAAGTATCCTATGAGAAAAGCATGCAAACCTGGGCAATCCTTCAGCAGTCTTCTCCTCTGCCGATTGCTCCAATTGCTCCCGCAGTGTAGCAACATACTACACAGGTAGCACAATTCATATTCTATTAAGTAAGACATAAAAACATCACTAGTTCCAAACATATTGATAATAAATGAGAAATCTTTCCAATTCCAAATTAAAGCTCATAGGGAAAGATGCGACAGTTTACCTACTATATTGTTCCATCCATCATTAACTTATAAAGGCATTTATAAATCAACATGACTGAATAGATACTTAAACATCTTGATAAATCTACCAAAAGAAGCATATATCTAGAGCATCTCTCGAGAAAATTAGTAAGGAAAAGAAGATTTAGCGTTAAGTCCATTACTCAGTTAACAATTCTATTGGAAAGAACTGTGGATGTACATGTATGAGCTTCACTTGATTTTGCTGTTGGGGCGCAGTTGCAAGTAACCTTCTCAGGTTGACTTCAGTTTTGCTCAAAGCCATCTGAAATCCTTAAGAAATGTAAAACGAATTGATCAATTGCAACAAAACATTGTCCTGAGATGAGCAAGTAGAAAACATTAATTCAACAAATAACAAGTGAAATATTATTAAAAGAAAAGTTCATTTGACATAAGATTCCATTGCTAGGATCTTCAATAATGCTAAATCAAAAACCAATGTATGTCCATTAGATGAGTAAATGTGGTGCATGTACTAACACACGCAGGAATGTGGTCATCCAATGTTCCAGTGTGATAGATCCTGATCTTAAAATGAAACCATGAGAGGAATGAAGCTGCTAATAAAACAAAATGATTATTACAGCAGGAAAATGGGACTAAAAGAAAGCTGGTTCAAACTTGAAACTTAAGATGATAAACCTCTACCCAAAGGAGCGAAACTTCATTTGAAGAGTTCAAAATTACTAATGTGATTCACTGACAGAAACCTAATAATAAAACCAAGTCATGGTAGCTACCAGTTGCATTTGATGCAGAAATCAATTTGGAGTTTATGTGGGCCTACCCTGTCTACATTTGGGTGGATTACGTAAAAAAATATACTGAATATCGTTAAGGGAAATGACCTTATTGAAGATTGAGGTATCTCAATTCTCAAACAGAGAACCCTTTAACACATAAGGGTCCAAGTTACACTCAACCAGCTCCAAACGGCTCGACTTTAAGCTTTTAAAGGAGAAAAAATGACAATGATCCCTAAACCATTTACCCACTTTTAATTTAAGAACCAATTCTGCAGTATATTTTCACAAAAGTAAAAATAAATATTGATCTATTATTAGGAGAACTTACAAGTATGGTGTACATAAATAGAACTATTGACTTATTCCATCATGAAAAACAAAAATCGGATGATAAAATCTGCAAGGTTGGTCCTGTGAGGATACCGTATGGTTATGCAGTTCTTTTTTGCCAGATCACAAATTAAATCTCAGTCATCATCGTCCATTACTATTTTCAGCTGAATAATCCCTATGAAGCAACAAGACCTAACCATGGACAACAACCCATGTGAACATTGTATGGAATGAATAAGTCTAGCCTCATTTATAATTTAATGGAGTCTGGTGATATAAAAGATGAAAAATCATCCACAACCACAAGGGAGAAAACAAACAACCAAGTAAAATAGTGATTATAATTTCCCTTGGAGGACTCTAAATCTATCTAAAAAGCAATAAAATTTTAACAAAAGCCACAATAGACTTGTTTTCATTCCCTATTTAATGAACAAGAAACCTAGAAAACACAGAATGTTTTCATAAAGTTTCAAACTTCTTGTATACAAAGACAACTTTAGGGCCTCAAGAAAACAAAAGATTGCTTGGTGCCACGTTAAGGCCAAAAAATAATTAGGCAACCTGATATGTCGATCACAATTCAAACTCTAAACACCAAAACAATCTATAAATTTAATATTCATTTCCTTAAATTTCTTCAACTTTCTCAACAACCTAGTAAGTTGTAACAAACCTTACATATTTCAATAGATCAGAATAATTTTTCAATTATTGAAGGGGGAAAATATTAGAATATAACAGATGAAAATGTAGTGGTCAAGAGTCGACATTGATGAGGCATGATATTGTATTTTATTTTGTAATAAGAAAGAGACACTTAAGTTTTAAAAGTGATATTGCGTCACTTTTTTTTTTTTTTAATTTAAATTTTTTTTTTTTTTTTTTTTTTTTTAACTAGTTATGCATCAGGGTTACACCGTGGTGTACATAATGATAAAATGTAATTTCATCATTGACGGGTAGAGCATTATGTGCACCAAAATAATCATTTTTCTAAATACTCATTTTTAACCACGTATTCATACAATAAAATATTCTACACGTAATTTCAAAATTTTTTCTTACTTTTTAATCACACATTCTCCTAAAAATCACTATTCAAAATATGATTTTTTTTCATTTAATGGTTGTCAAACAGGGGCACAATGTTTATTTTTTTTCTTTTCTTTTTTCCTTTTTTGATCGCAAATAATAATTATTTCTACTTTAAATTTTTTAAAAAAAAAGTCAACTAATTAAAATACTCCAATTAATTCATTTTTTTTATTATGGAAAATCTTCTTAATGTTTGTATGCTTAATAGGAGCATCTTCGACAGAGAATTGAATGGTGTGTCCATAATTGTGATTTTAATGAATTTTAAGAAAATTCATTAAATTCAAAATGCCCCCAACTAAAATTTTAATAAATTTCAATAAAATTCTTTAAAATTTAGGTTTCCTCAATAACTCGTGAATTTATAATACTTGAATTAAAATCCATTAAAATCTCAATTTGTAACACATGCATTTAGGACTTTCTAAATTTATTAAACTATATGCCTCTAGAAATTTTACAATTTTTAATGAGATTATTACGAATTCTGTGAAAAACTATTCAAATTTACGAAACTTGTTAGAATTTATAATTTTGTAAAATTCATTAAAATCTAAAAGTACACCCGGCAAAAAATGCATTGCAATATCTAACAAGTTTTCCCTTCAAGATTAAAAATAATCCAATGGAAACATATTGGTTAAACATAAATTTGGCCAATAATTTTAAGAGGCATAGTTAAATATCTTTATCGATGATAATTTTTTCATCTCAAAATAACATTAAATTATTACTATGGTCTGTTTGGAGTAACTTGTGAAAAAAAAAATCAAGATTATGTAGTTAAAAAGTAGGAAAAGTTATAAATCCACGTGTAAAATTATATTATTAGAGAAAATATGATTAAAAATGATTTTGGAGAAAAAAGAGTTTTATAAACTCTCTCTCAAACAAGATCTAAACTAACTAACATGTCATATTGTAAATATATATATTCATCAAACACAATCAATGCATGGTGGACTTGCTTCATATTTGGCTAAACTTAAAACAGATGCTTTTAAATTTACTGATAAGTAAATAAGTAAATTTTAAAATAAATACTCTTTCAGTTTAAGTTCAAAATAAATAATTATACAAAAAATATATATTTTTTTTTCATCTTCCTTTGAAAAAAATGTAAACTTTTTTAACTTACTAATAGTAAGCACGTGCGTTGCACGTTTTATATATTGAACAAATGATATGCCTAATATTTTTAAGTACTAATAATGTTTTTTGAAGTAGTTGATGTAATTAATATTACTAAAGGAAAAAATTAAAATTGTTAAAAAATAATGAATAACACATTTTATGAAATTATGTTATAATGTAAAATGTTTAATAAATTGAAATGTAATATTTTCATTTGAATAACATTTCTTTGTACACAATATTTTTTATCAACATCCTACAACTTTTTTTCTTTTTATTTTCTATTTTTAGTATTTTATCAAGACTTTTGTTGCTTGCATTGAAACTCTACAAAAAAGTGTGAGATATAATTATTCATAAGATAATACATGTTCAGAAATGTATATTCTAATAGTAAGCATAGTTTGTCCTTAAACTTTTTTAATGATAATTGCAAGTATACATGTATTGAAAATTGTTCTCTCTTAAATTTGAATGGATATCCTTCATCATTTGTTGGAGTTAAAGGGATGCACGAATATTATTGAGCAACAATGTATTTAGGAACTCGTCTTGATAAAATTGATTTGTATTTAGATTCCACACAAAAGAGAAAAATGAGAATCAAATATGAAATGAAATTATTAAAAAAAAACATAACTTGAGGATGAAGAACTAAAATAATTAAATATTGAATTGAATTGACAATAAGCAAGCATGTCAAAAAATCGCTAAATTCTATTACTATTACAAACAAATGAGGTGCTTAAATTCGTAAAATTGAATTATTATCATTTTTGCTTTATTTTGAATGACAACTTCATATACATTGCAAAAGTTTTACTTTAACATAACAAAGTTCTTATCTGATCCGTTTGAATATAAATATGTCAAATTAAATCTAAAAACTAAAGTATGTATACATGTGAATATTAAAATGCCAGAATGGATAAATAATTTATATTCATTAAGTATATGCAATATCACAAAATATAAAAAGTTGTACCTCATTTAATTTGTCAAAAGTAGTGACATATTTAATCTCTTCCTTTGATTCTGATTAGATTTGGTATCATTGAAGACATTTACCTCTGTTTATAATAATCCTGTGAAAATCGAAAGGAAATGATATTAAAAAATTATAAAATTAATTGGTATGAACTTAAAATCAAAAGCTAGTTTTCTAGATATTCTTTGCACATAGTATAATATGAAAAAAAAAAAAAAGGATTTTATATCTTAAACAAAGCTATAAAGTTAAATTTAAGATCTTTTAGCGATTAATAATGTTAATATTTTTAGTAATATTTATAAATAATATAACTTTAATAAGCATCAACGATACTCACAATTTTTTTAGTATATCGTATAATAATATTTTAATATGATGACGTCAAAATTTAAAATATACACATTTTTTGTATGATATGACTAATGTTCTATCGTTATAATTGATAAAAAAAAATTTTAAATATCAAAACACTTGAACAAAAAATTATGGGTTGCGACAAAAACTTTAAACTATTTGATTATGCAATTAAATTATTTACATAATTAATTTTTAACTATAATTTTGCGTTAAAACCAATATTCAAAATAAAATAATTAAAAAAATAAAAAATACTTTTCCTACAAATTAAAGGTAACAATACTTAGTGAATGTAAATTATAGAAATAGCTATAATCAATAAAATTAATATCTCAAAAATTACTAATATTCTATGGAAATGTGTATTGAATCAAATTTGTAAGAGTTAAAAATTCTAAGAATATGACACTCGAAATTTGGAAGATCTAATTTTAAATTTTGATGATTTTTTCTCTTTATCCAATGTTTTAGTGAAAAAATTGTAAATTTTAATAAATTCCTTGCCAGTAAAATTGAAATTTTCAATTCTTCAAAACTAAAATTTGTACATTGTACGACTGTAACAATAAGAAAGAAAATATGTTCATTAATCAACGAATATTA